TACACAGGGTGTGGGCACAGGGTGTGCACCGGCATTGCTTACATAAAACTGGCTGTTTACAATATCTCTCTAGCAAACTTCTATTTGATTCCCTCTCTCTCTCTCTCTATCATTCTCTCGCTCTCTCTCTCTATCCTTCTCTTGTTGCTTGTCTGTTAGTTTTTGGGTTGAAACTTGAGCCAGTGGCTTAAGCTGACACAGGGTGTTTGCACAGGGTGCCCGCAATCATTGTTTATATGTAAGTAGCTGTCGCTGTCTTCACAGCGACTACTTTTTGCCACTTGCCGCGCATATAACGTTTTATCCACTTGGGCTTTGTGCTAGTTTTTGGGAAAAAGTTTATCAAGCTGAGGCCAAAGTGCAACTGCACACACACACACACATACACACACAAATACAGAAAAACAACACACAACTTTGACCAAAAAAAGAATGAAAAAATCTTAGCAAACAGTAAAAGTTAAAGTGGCTTTTGAGTGTGTGTGTGTGTGTGTGTGTGTGTGTGTGTGTGTGTGTGTGTGTGTGTGTGTGTGTGGGAAGAAAGAATCGATATGTTTAAGCTGCCTGCTGCATTGTAGGCGAACTTTTGACACAAATACATACACAGCCACACACACAGTCACAGTCGCAGACACAGTTAGCTGCGCCTATGCATATGCTACAATACTTTGGCATTGTGCATGCCAAATGAGAAATTGCCTTCTGACTGACAACTTACAAAGAATTTGAATTTAGAAAATTGCAAATTTATGTTGAAACTAGCAGCCCGCACACTCTCTCATACACACACACAACAACAACATGGCACACACACACAGTTGAACTGTGAAACTGTCAAATGACCCAGAAATGTATGCTGCATATATTCCCCGTCTCCGACTGCCTTTCTATAAACTTTGCCTAGACTGCCAAAAGAGCTGTGCGGCACATGCATATGCATATGCCTCAGCCTTAGTCTCAGTCTCAATCTCAGCCAGTGTTGCCAACTGTCGCTCAGTAATGTAGCTAAAAGTAGCTATAATAGGAGATACAATGCGTCCCATATATTATTAAGCATTCTCTTCGCTGAGTTTAAAAACAGTCAGAAATGCAGGCAGTTGCCACTTTAAGTAGCCAAATTCAGCTAGAACATAGCTAAATTGCCAACTTTACTGGTTTCGGTCTCTGTCAGCATCTGCAAAACACACACACACTCACACACACACACACACACATGCACAATCCCAAGTGTCTGCAGACAGTCGCAATCGAAATTCAGTGTTCGATCTGATTGCCGCAGTGCGATTGTGTTTTAATTCAGTGCCACTTGAGCTGCCACTTGCACACACACACACAAGCACACACATATACATATGCAAATGCAGCCTGCCAGCCATTTGACATTTGTTGCATATGCGTCATTCGTGTCAAGAGAGACGCAGGGCGAGCACAGCCAAGACAAGTGTCTCTAAAGTCAGGCACATGTTTGATCACTTTCCGCCTGGCGCCATCTGTGTGCCATTTTTGTCTATCTGCTATACACCCTGTGCGCGGCAGCAGTTGCTGAATAAATCGAATATATATACATACGTATATAGTCAAATATATATAAAAACAAGCATTTACTCATATAATTTATATAAATTTGCAAACTTAACGGTCAACAGGTGGCGCCACTTGTTAGAGCAACTTATCTAATATTGTATAAACTTATCTAATTAGCGTAACAAAAAATTGAACTACATTTCAATATCCTCTAATTAGGCGCTTCATTCGTTTAGTTAAGCTCAATGGAGTTCAGAGTTCTTTAGCACAGCCAAAGCTAAGTTAGATAAGTTCCACTGAATGGCTTACGAATTGTGAGAAGCGAAACAAGAAGTATATAGATAAAACATAGAGGCAAAAGCAAAGAAAGAAGCATGCGAGATGTGAATCGAGAAGAAAGTGAGCAGCAAAACAATAATAATCAGCAGAAATTAAGCGAAAGAGGTCAATGAGCAAACCAATGAGCAATAAAACAATTACGAGAAGCGAAGTAAGTAGCGTCGATGCGAAATAATGCGAAATGACGGCAAGCTTTACGTTATTTTCTAACGCTCATGGCTTTATTTAAATGAAATACTCACACACACTCAAATCAATTTTTTTAAAGCGCCTACAATAAATTCACCCTACAATAATTGTACACATGGCAGTTCTAGATAAGAAAGGCTAAACACAAATAGATTGCGTTTTAAGTTGGATAAGAATTAAATTAATACTTGGCGTTGCCATACTTTGTAATTGTGGTAGTGCTGCCACCTCACAATAATTGTACATATGGCAACTCTAGACAAGAAAAGTTAATCACAAGCATAGATTGCATTAAGAGTTGAATTTAAATAAATCTTTTATAATTTTTTTGGCTTTGCCATACTTTTATAGTTCTTTATGGAAAAGTAGAATAAATTTAACAGCTAGTTAAACACTGCAGGGCAAAATTATGAAAACACGAATAGATTACATTTAAATCAGAATATATATTAACATAATTGGCGTTGCCATACATTAACATTTCTTTGTTGTTGTGGCAGAGCTGCCAGCTTACAATTTTTGTACATAAACCAGCTCTAGACAGGATAAATAAGGCAAAACCTAATTGCATTTCAAGTTGAATAGGAATTAACATAATGTTTGGCGTTGCCATACTTTAATAATTATTTGCGTTTCCTTGAGACAAGAATGAAATTCAATTTAACTGCTAATCAAACAGCAAACACTGCCCATGGAGCTCATTTGTTTGGCTGTTGTTCTACGACTAGGCCAGCGCATGCTGCTGGTAATGTTGTCCTGGTCCTGGCCCAATTAACATGGCTCCGGCGATGGCAGCTGGCCACAATGGCGGGCCAGAGTGACTGGCCAGTTGGCCGTTAGCGTAGAGTCAAGTGGCCTTTTGACCAAAATCGTAGAGGCTGCGAGATGGCCACGAGGAGGCCGCGCAAAGCCTTGTTAAACATTTCCGTTGACCAAGCAACGCGTGTGTTTGTGCATGTGCGTGTGTGTGTGTGTGTGTCAGCTTGTGTGTATGGGTAAATTTGTTTTTGGCCATGTCATGCCGTGACAGTTGCAAAGTGGCTGCCAATGGCCGGCCACATGTGGTGCAATCCGCTGGGAGAGCCATCTGCGGTGCCAAAGCGTTAATTGAAATCTGAAGTTGAGGCAATAGGCAACAGGCAAAGCCAAAACCGACATCATCCAGCCATTAGGCAATTCGTGTGTGTGTGTGTGTGTGCGTGAGTGTACCCCGATGATTTGTGGTGCAATAAAACGTGGCATTTAATAGCTGGAGCATCCACAAATGCTCAAAACTTTTGCTTCAGCATTTGTGTGCAGGCCGGCCCCAAAAACTAACAAGCTCG